TGCAAGTACAACTTCCAAGTATAGCCCAAACCAAATTAAAATGGAAGTGGGAAATGTTTAACAAAATAAAGACATGGTACAACACAGATAATGTCAATGTATGGTTTTCTAAGTTAATATGTAGCCCTCAAGGATATAAATGCATTTTGATCTAGTTGAGTTTGACTCCAATGGTGTAGAGAACTCCTTCTGGCAATGCAGATCAATGACTATTCTGTAGTTTATAGTCTCAAGGTCACCGAAAGGTAAGTGACTCACCCATACAGCCAGTACGCGTCAGATTGGGTTGTCCTGATTCTAAGGCTTTCTATCCATTATACCATTCTGCCCTTTCTTAATATATACATACTTTATTGAATTAAATTGTTAAAATAGACAATTATTCTAGATCTCTGGAGAAGAATTTTACAGTTTTCTTCGGTGGAAGCAGGAAGGATTCTGTTTAGTTCTAACTGAGCATGTTACTAATTATTATTCATAATAGAAATAACACTTCACATTTTTATGGTAAAAAAGATCAAACAAGTTTACTTGGAGAATCAAGAATTAAATTTCCACAAATAAATTCAAGTACTAGGCTCTCGGTATTCCTTTCTAAAGCATTAATGCAGATTTCATGCCCTTGACTGACATTATGATGAAGACCAGAGGCTGTCCCAGTGAGTGCCTCCTTTCCTCCCCATCCCCCACTTCCACCGACTGCTGCTGCCAAACCCACACCTTTCCCTGATACACCATTAGCAAAAGCAGGCAGCATGCTGATGGTAAGCCCAGACCAGACACCAGCTTCAAAGCCTGCATGACAGTGGGCCAAGCCACTGACTGGCAACTCCAAGCAATAAAGTCTCAAGATACCGTGGCCAATAGCAAGCAGTGTGACCTTGAGCAACTGAGCCCACTTCTTGAGAAAGCCTGAGCTTTCTTATCTAGATACGAGCATACAGATGTATCTTGTTCAGTACAAGAAAATTAGAGGTTATTGCAATAGTCTAGGCAAAGGGTAACAAAGGCCCACTACTGGGCATATTCATCAAGGAAGTCAAAGAAAGAAACCAACATCCAATATATACCAATATATTTTTAAAGCAGCAGTATTTGTGGTAGCAAATAACTGGGAGCCAAGGCAGGGCCCCGTCAACTATGGAATACATGGGCAAACTATGTTGTATAAATGTAATGCAAGGTTATTGTGATGAATATGAGGAATTCAGAGAAATATGAGAAGATTGATTTGAATGGATTCCAAGTGGAAAAAAAGCAGAACCTAAAAACAATATACAAAACTGCATCAATGTAAATGAAAAGATCACTAGAAGAAAGTCAAGCTCTGAGTAATGGAAAAACCAATGATAGTCTGGGAAAACAGATAATGAAGCATACCTCCCTCTTCTTGGCAGGAAAAAATGAGGACTACTGGAGCAGAATGAGGCATATGTTGACAGATACAGTAACAGTACCGGATGGTTTTTTTTAACTATTTTTCTTTGTTATAAGAGAAAATTCAATTGAGGTGAGGGAAAGAGGAAGGTGAATTCCATAAATGACTATGATATAAAAGTAGATAAATAAAGCCACTTTTAAAAGGCCACCTGGGAGTGAACAAGGATGCTAGCAGATAAAATGGAAACTAAGGGAGAGATGCTACCACTTTTCAGAGGAAGAACCTATGTCACACCTACTGATTAGATATGATGATCCAGTTAAAGGAGCTTCGAAAGATGCATATTAATATTAGTGTTGCCATTTTTTTCATAAATTGCAAAGTGTTATATAAATGTAAGATGTTGTTACTGTTATTGTCCACAAGGAGCAAGTGTGCTGGAGCCAGCTTATACTGGCTTACGGAGCTGATTGTTAAATGTTCAAAAATATCATTTATACCTCAGAAATTGGCCAGTGCTACAAATTAGGGCTTGAAGTATTGTTTTGTTGATTATGTAAACTTAAGACAGTGATGGAAAAAATGTCAATAATGAAGATTAAATAAAAGTGTGACATGTGTACATTTTTTAAATCCAAAAGCCAGGTTGTTAAATATTTACCAACATGCCCCTTATTGTGGTAGACTTTCTAATGGCACTCAAATGACTCCTCTTTAAACTTTAAATCCTTCTATCTCCTTTCACTAGTTCTATTCTTACAGAATATTTCCTGTCTCTCCCTCTAATACCTTTTTACTCCCTATCTAAATCTGAAATATGCCACCTGGACTACAGTCTAATTATCTAACCTCCTTAGTCTCCAAACCCTGAGTGAAGGGGAGCCTGACTGACAATTCAAGTCCAGAAACTAGAAAAGAGTACCCAACAAGTATTGGGTTTTGAGTCTTACTCGCAGTTGGGAAAAGTGGGATATTTCTTCTCTGGAGCTATCTTTTGGGCTTCCCTTTCCCTGTTCTGACTTCTTAGTTTCCCTTTTATATGCACTGTGTTTCCCACCCACCCTTCTGCACCCCCATCTAATTCAGTGGGGTTGCTAAATAATCTCTAATACTCCTGTGAATTCATTCATCCCCATACCTGGCATATACTCTCTTCTTATCTCCTCCTCTTAGGATCCCTAGTGTGTTGAGTGAGTCATTCATTCAGAAAATGTTTAGTAAGCACCAACTGTGCACAGAGCGCTGCATTAGGGGCTAAGAGAGACCATGTTTAGATAAGACATAGGTCTCAGCACTCAAAGGGTTTTGGTTTGTGTGGAGACATAAGATAAAAGCATAGATAACCAATAAAGGGCAGTACTGATACATGCATTGAAAAGTTCCAAAATAAAGTATGACGAGCTGTCAAGGGGAAGGAATCCATGGTATTACTGGAGAAGGAAGTATTTGGGGTGGACTTTAAAAACTAGACAGGCACCTGACAGAAAAAGAGGAGGAGATAATGGTCCAGGAATAACCAACTCAAAACAGCCACAGGCAAGCAGGTAAAGGGTGTGTCCTGGGGGCAAGACGAGGTCCACCTGGGCTGGGGTGTGGAGTATACAGTGAACAGTATCTGGGATTCTACACAAAGACTGGTTTCAGTAAGCTTCTGGCTGCTCTTTCCTTTTGCGCTTATTCTCTCTACCCAAATGGTCATTAATAAGGAAATGTGTCTTCCTCTCTCACTTCAGATCCTGGAAGCCGTTCAACAGAGAAGTTACAAATTGAGGAGTGGGGTACTCCCTCCCCAGGAACAAATCCCCTTGACCTTTTTTTAAAAAGCAACTTCAGTATGCCACCATGCTATCTCTCTCCATCTCTTTTTGCCCTCAATACCTTCTCTCTCTTCATCTTCTTTTTTTCTCTCTCTCCCTCTCTTTCTTTCTCCCTTTCT